ACCTACGAGGGCCAGCACTGGCACGCCACCAATGCCTGTTTCAGCTGCTCCCGTTGCCAGCAACCCCTCCTGGGGAAGCCTTTCCTGCCCAAGCAGGGTCAGATCTTCTGTTCCCGGGCCTGCAGCCTCGGTGAAGATCCCAACGGCTCGGATTCCTGTGACTCTGCCTTGCAGAGCACCCGTCCTCAGGATGCTCGGAGGACCAGCTGGCAGCAACGCCGAGTTCAGTCTCAGGGCACATCACCCTCTTCCATCACCCGCTCCATTTCCTTTGCGGGGAAGACGGTACCATCGGACTCTACCCCAAGGACCCGAAGGAGCTGGAGTGGGGCGCCTGGGGATGAGGAAGAGGAGGTGCCGACGGAAATGGAAGAGCTATCTGATCCAGACAGCAATGGTTCCGGCTACAGCCAGAGTTGTGAGGAGCCAGTGGAACGGGCTTCCCGGGGAACGTCAACTTGCCTGCCCCCAGCCACTGACCAGGAACCAGGGACAGGTGAGGTAGAGCAAAATGGAACAAGAATGTTGCGGGTGTGCAGGGCTAGTTGGGGAAGGCTTCTAGCTTTGAGACTTAGCCCCGTCCCTGCCACTAACCATCTGGTTTCTCCTCAGGGACCGAGCTCCAACCACGTTTCCAGCGCACCTCCCCTTTGCGCCACTCTATGCCGGAGCTGGGGATGTCCTCTTCCAAAACCTCTGACTGGAGCAGCAGTTCCACTTCCAAAATTCAAGCCTCTGCCCGGCCACGACTCAGCGAGGGCAGAGAGCCCGGGACTTTTGCCCGGGGAGGAATACCCCGGGTTAGCTTCCGGGAACCCTTAATCTCGGGAGAGCCCAGCACCCCTTCCCCTGAGCAAGCCTCCTTGGAGACCTCTGTGCTGCAGAAGGGGGGAGCCATCCGGGGACACCCTCGCTCCACTTCAGATAACTCTCTCAACCTGGGGAGCCAGGACTGGAGGCCAAGGAAGGGGAGGGGGGAAAGGAAGGGAGCCAACCTGTCCTATTCAGCTTCGGAGAGTGCTTTTCCTGCCTGGCACCGGCGCTACCCTCCCAGGGGATGGGACTTCAGCTCCTCCGAGTCCTCCGATTCATCTTCGGAGGAAGAAGGCTACTTTCTAGGGGAGCCCATACCCCTGCCACCCCATTTGCGTGTTGGAGCCAGTTCCCCAGAGGTCACGCCACCCAGTGAATCAGCTTGCAAAAGGCAGCGCCGAAGACTGCGTGTGGTCCGGGACAAGAACTGTGTGGTGGCCTGAGCTGTCCTGACATTTGCTATTGCAGTCCAGCTGTAATCGGGCTTTGAGTCTTGTCTGAATGGTGAAATGTTAATCATTCTCTCTGAGAGCCTCTGCAGCCAGTGGCCATTGTTTCTTCCTCCTTGACCCGTGCCTCTTTCGCCAGGGATTCTCCTCAGAAAGTAACCTCTTCATCATGACCGCTGTTTCTGTTGAAACCTTTCCTCAGGGAGATTTGAGCGGTTGGTTTTTTTCCCCCTCACGCTGACCTCTGATCTCTAGACGTGACCCTTGTGTGAAGAAATCTGGAAGTGTCTCTGTGGTGTTCTTTGAACTGTGGTAGTTTATTTTCCGTGGTGGCCTTTTGACCTCTCAACTGTGACCTCCTGAACCAAGCTTTAACTTTGTCATCTTGAAAGTTCAAGTTCTGTAAACCTCTGCACTGTACCCCCGTGAGCGAGCTTCGAGCAACAGCAATTTACCTGGGAACCCTTGCACTTCTGTTTTGACCTTTTTACTGTGACCTTTGAATATTTGCACCATTCCTGGGTGATCCTTTTGGCCCTTGATCCGAGTTGCTATTACTAATACAAGTCTCTAGCAAGATAGCAGTTTCAAACTTTGGGATTTTCTTCTTTTGGTAGCAAGGTGTTTGGTGGTGATATGCGTGTGATTGTGTGTGTACACTGAGTGAGGCTGAACTGTTCCCTTGCTTTCCATGCTAGAAGTGGAACATGGGCAGAAGATGTCTTCTAGGGGGTAAACCCCTCAATGTTATCTTCCTAATCAAACTGGACCTGTGATTTCCCCCCCCCCCAATCTAGTCTCTCTGCACTGTGTGCATTTCTAAAGTTTGCAGTTTTTTAAAAAATGATTTTTTTTCTAATTAAGAGTTTTAATTTAAATGAAATTGAAATAAACTTCATGAAAAAAACACTTCTTTTGTATTGCAGTGAATCATTAGAGCATGTTGGATATTAGTAAGAAAAAAAGAAAAGATAACATAAGGAACAAACGGAAATGGGTGTTATGGTGCAGTGGGTAAAGGGGAGTGATTTCCTCATTACAGCAGCTTCTAGTGCAGCGGTTCTCAACCTGTGGGTCGCGACCCCATTTGGGATCGAACAACCATTTCACGGGGGTCGCCAAACAACACAGTCCGCCATTTTTTCCCCCTTTTCCTTACCTGTGCTACTCTCTTTTATTTTATTGGCTTTTGAAAGCCAATAGAATAGACTCTCTTGAATAGAGTCTAATTCTATTGGCTTTCAAAAGCCAATAGGAATTGTCCAGGCTGCCTGTGCCCTGCTGAACCTGCCAAAAGTCCCATTCTGCAAACGGTGCTGCAAGTTGTCTGCAGCGAAGGCGAGCTGTCTGGAAGTTTCCACCCCTCCCTGCTGAGCAACTACTAAAAATGTAAGTAAAAGAGGGCCAGGGGTGGGAGGCCGGAGGCGTAGGGAGGGTTGCTGGCACGCGTGGGGCCCGGCGGGTGCCTTACCTCCCTTGGGCTGGGCCAGCTGGTGGCCTAGCCAGTGGTCACCCTGCGCCGTCGCTGCCCCTTGGCAGCTACGCCTTGGCCGGCACAGGGGGCAGCACCACGCATGCACGGGGCTCCCAGTCAGGGAAGTCCTCGACTTACGGCCGGTTGGGTAGTCCTCGACTTAGGACCGGTTGGGTAGTCCTCGATTTACAACCGGTTGGGGTCACGGCATTAAAAAGGTTGAGAACCACTGCTCTAGTGGGAGTGAACAAGAGGGTGCCCTCCAAAATTTTGTGTTTCTGTATAGATCAGGGGTAGGGAACCTTGGCTCTTTTATGACTCATGGACTTCAACTCCCAGAATTCCTGAGCCACCATGGCTCAGCTTGGAAACTCTCCCTTTCCCCTCAGCATGGCTGGCTCAGGAATTCTGGGAGTTTGAAGTCCACGAGTCATAAAAGAGCCAAGGTTGCTTACCCCTGGTATAGATAGATGAATCAGCTTCTGCAAGTGGATCAGGATTATGGAACCTGTCATCTGGAATTCAGTAGGATACCTGGTTGATTCTCCTTGGCTTACATGGTAGAGACTGGCAACATTTTGGCAACTAAGACTGCGTTTGAAATATTTTTTAAAAGATAGTTAGGATCTTTTTTTTTTTACTTAGTATACCTAATTTTGGGCTTACACAGTAGGTTTCATTTGTTTCAGGTGTCAACACAGCAGAAAAATAAACCCATTTTCAGCTGTCATGATCAGATTGGGCTTGGGGAGGTCTGCAAAAAAGGAAATTTGGGGACCAAAGATTATACATACCGAAAAAGTATAATAGTATTATGTTAATCTTCATGTCCCAACTTAGACAAATTGGGAGCAGGATATATTATTTCATTGTAACTTAGGCAAAAAAACAACAACTTTGCTTCCTAAGATCTAATGGCGAACCTTTGAGCGACCGAGTGCCCAAACTGCAACCCCAAACCTACTTATTTATCACCGGGTGCCAGGTGGGTGTGGCCCACTGGGTAGGCGTGGCTGTGGTGGTCATGGCAGACTGGGTGGGTGTGGCCAAGTTGGGCATGTTCACCTCGATGTTGCTCGTGGGGAGGGACACCTCTGGAGGCTGGGCAGGGTTGGGGGGAAGATCCAGGGGGTCTCTGGCAGGTGGGGCGGTGGGCAGGAGGCTTGTCCTGCAGGGTGAAGTGAGGCAAGGCAAGACAGGGCAGGGTGCCTTTGTCGCAGGGCAAGGTGAGGCAGGGGCCAGGGCAGCTGCTGCCTGACACCATCAGCCCCCGCACACAAACGCCAGCGAGCACATGGGGGTCAACAGTGTCCGTCAGCAGCCACAGCCTGCCGGCCCCTTGACTGGTGCACTCTGGGGCTCCACAGCCCGCCGCCAGTATTTCAGAGAAGCTGCCTCTGAGCTGGCCGGCCGGCTGACAGCTGTGGAAGTGATTCAGTGGGTCATGCCCGGGAAAAGGAGAGCATGTGAGACAAGGAGGGATGGGATGGGGGGGGGAGGGAAACCAGCTGTGCTGGGATGCATCTGGCCACATGGGACCTCGGCGAGTTAGCGGGCAGCTGGTTGAAGAGGGACAATTGCCATCTCCAGGGCATAGCGCATGTGCCCACAGAGAGGGCTCTTGAATGTCGCCTCTGGCATATGTGCCATAGGTTCGCCACCACTGATCTAATCCATTACTGAAATAGAGCAGAAAGAAATATATGTTATGACTTATCCTCTCCCTAAAAAAGCAACTATAATTTGCTACTTAGAAGTAAACGTTTTGGATTTGACTCTTCTACCAAATCCACTCTTGGTGAAAAACAGCATCTGGTTTTGGGAAGACTGTGTAGCACAATCTGCACAGATTTGAATTAATCAGGGTAGATGTAACAAATAGAAACTTTATTTTTAAATAAATGAAAGTTGTGATTTGTGAGATGCTACTTATTTGGTAGAACTCCAAAAACATGGAACTATTCTATGTGACTATTCTACAGCACTAAAGATGCAGAGAAGCTTCTTTCTGGTGGTATATCTGTACTACTTAGTGGCTGACTGAAGGTAGCTGATCAAATTCTTGGTGATTTTGTTGATGCAGCACACTGACAGCTGAAACACTTCTATTTAAGTGTAAGAAGAGAGTCAGAGAAACATACAGTGTAGTAGTAGTAGTAGTAGTAGTAGTAGTAGTAGTAGTAATAGTAGTAGTAGTAGTAGTAGTAGTAGTAATAATAATAATAATAATAATAATAATAATGCCAGACTCCTTTTCCAAGATGGAGAAGTTTCACAGATCCCTTTAATTATACTAACAATTCTCTACAGCCAAGATTGCATGAAATATTATGGTAGTGGACATCAAGTAATCAGACTTCATACCAATTCAGATATAGTTTATTTGCACTTTAAAATATTTTATTTCTCCAGCAACCACAAAATAAAGCCAAGCTGCCCAGAGTCAAACAGGAGAGAATTGGGTGAGATGGCAGTAGACATTCTCTTCTATCTTTCCCACCCTACAGATAGGAAAGTGTTCTAAGCTTAAGGTAATGATATACATTTCCCCAGAAGAAAATCAGGCCACTTATGTGTCTCCTGATAGACCACTGAGGCTGTGTGTATTCTGCACTACACCAAAATAATTATTAAAAAATACCCAGAAATCAGCACCAAGATAAGCCAAGTTCTCTTCTTTGGGAAAACATGACTTTTAACAAGTATATAAATGCATAACCCAGATATGTCACTGGAAGGCAAAAATCACAAAACTGTGTCTCACTTATTTTGGCCATATCATGTGGGAGAAATTCACTGGAGAAAGCAATTATGCCTGGAAGAGTTAGCGGTAAAAGGAAACCAGGCCACCAAAGATGGCTGAATGCCATCAAAGTTCACACCAGCCAGAACATAGAAAAAAACTCAAATAGTGCAAGATCGGAAGGGGTGGGGAGACCTGGCCCACAGCATTGCCAAGAGTGGGACATGACTGAATGGATAACGTCAACATAAAGTATATGAATTTGCATATTTTATATAAAAGTTTGATATGTTAACTATTTTTATTTAAAAAAAATCTACAAAATAGGGCAGGGTAATGAACTCTGCATGGCACTAGAGCAGGGGTGTCAAACTGCCGGCCCATGGGCCGGATGCGTCACGCGGGAGCTGCGCTCACTCCAGCTCCAGCAAGGGGAAAAAAGTTACGATACGTCGTGCCACGTCATGTGATGTGGCAAGTTTGACATCCCTGCACTAGAGCCCTGGAATTCTAATTCAGAAAAGTTTTCCTTAATCTGGAAGGTTTCCATACCTGATGACCACCCAAACTCTCCATTTCTATTTGCTCACAATGACTGAACACACACAACCCTACTGTGTAACCTAGTACTTGTTTTAAAGACTGAGGTTACCTGAGAGAGGTAAGATTAGGGGAGGAAATACATGGTATAGAAAAAGTTACCAATATAGGATGCCTTTTAAGTGCTTGCTTAATTTTTTTTAAAAAAATAATTTATCATAAATGGGTATTTAAGATGGCTTAGTGAAATTTCAAACGCCTTTTCATGGGGTTTGAACTCAAACTCTTGAATTCAAAAGTTACAAACTTTTGAAAAAGTCCTAGTTACCAGATTGCAAAATAGTGGCTTCTTATCTAGAAAATCTGGATGCAAGCACCTGGAGTCTGCAGGGCAAACAGAGGCCCCAGTGGGATCCCTTTGCACTTTGCTGTCGTTTTCTGCTAATAGGACTAAAAACGTAAAGGCTTGGGTTTTGGTTTTTGTTTTTGCATCTCAACCAGAGAGTAAATGGAATTATGCCCAATCCGATGCAATCCATAGTCACAAACCTATGAAATCCATCTTTACTGGTCTCTTGCAATTTCCTTGAAGGATTCCAGAATTGCCCTTCTTTTCCATTGCTGAAACAGTCTCATAAAGTGGAGACAAAAGAAAAGGACCTGCCAAGTCAGACGACAATCAGTCCTACTGGGCACTCATGGAAAACAGGCTCTGGTGTTGCCAAATTGATACAGGGAGGTGGTCTCTTGGGGACAGATCCCATAGAAGGCAATAGGTGATGGGTCCAGTGTGGCGTTTTGTCTTGAGGTGAAAGAGGGATGCTGTCTTCAAATCCCTTCTGTAGGCTCTGTGAGAAGCAGAAAAAGGACAGACCGATATTAAGCAAAGTTATTATTGTAACTTGCTTGTTCTTGCTTGGAAAGATGAGAACTGCTGCCCAACAATCCTAATTCTAGCTAGAAGCTATTGATTGCTATTCATCACCATCCGAGCCCTAGGAATAAATAAAAAGCTGTAATGTTGCTCCCCTGCTTTGCAATTGTCAGGAAAACAGTGAAAGTACAGGATATACATTTTACAAATAAATACAATACAAATAATATGTGCCACTGTAAGGCCCAGATATGGGGCCATGAAGATTATGTTATGTTCCTGGAAAGAAACTTGAACACAGATTCCAAAGGCTGGCTTGTGGGCTCTCTCTTTGACTGGAAGACTGGACAATGGGGTACTATGAAGTTTGAGCTCTGTTCGTAGTAATTTTTCCATTGATGTACATAGTATTGTACTCAATTATTTGATTTCATTTTGAGTTAGCTTTTGGTCTGCATTGCTGCTAGTTTGTTTTATCTGAGTTTTTAAATGTTTTATTTTATTTGTATCCACCTGTTTTGTTTTCGTTTTGTAGTTCTACAAATTAAAAAAGATAATGGCAATACAATTATATCATCTCATTAAAAAAATCAAGGGAGACAAAAATAGAAACACTGTCAGGCAGGCTGACACTATCAATCACAGTATGTATACATATATTTCTCTCCTACCATTTATAAGCTTAGTGCCAGAGTCTGGGTGACTTAAAATACAGAAAATAAAACATAAAAATACGCAGGAAAAAAATCAAGGAATATAAATATTTTTTAAAAAAATGATTACACCATTCACATTCTTCTGCTGTTCAGCTATAAATGGAATTGCATTTGACTGTCAGGGAATAGTTATTTTAATGAATATATATTAACAATACCTTGCATTAAAATAGCTATTAAAAATTAAAATGTAGTGCCGGTAAATTTAAAATGAAATGTAATTCTCTGGATTCTTCTCATTTGGAGTTTTGGCTGGAGAACACCGTCATTGGCATTGGTTCGTGATCCGTGGCAGGACTGGCATAGTGGGAAATTAACTTCCTTGGCCCTGCTGGATCTCTCAGCTGCCTTTAATAACCTCACTGGTGATACCTTTCTGGATTGCCCATATCCAGTTTGCTTCCTTCCTGAATGAGTGACTGCAGTTGGTGGTACAGAGGGAGAGGTCAAACCTGTGGGTTTTGTTTTGTAGTGTGCTGTAGTGCTTAATCCTCTCTCCCCTGGTATTTAATTACTATATGAAGTTGCTGATGAGGGCCACCCACTTCATGAGTGGAACCATCGTTGATATGTTAAGGATAGCCACATGTGTACATCCTAAACAGGAGATATATTTGGGATTCTCTTCTGCTTCCACAAGGGGAGAAAGAAGACTTAGACTTATCCCTAGCAAAATGAATGGCTGTTGATTCATAAGCAGGGAGATTTCAGCAGCAGTACATTTGTAGCTCTGAATAAGGCTGTGCTGCCTATGCAGAACCGGTTTGTAACCTGTGTGTCCCCTGGTTCCTGCTCAAAGAGTGGATGGAAGTCATGTCTAGGAGAGCCTTTGTACATTTTGCATATCAACGACAGGCTTTTTGGGAGCAGGCATTTTGCTGACAGTCAAACCCGTCAGTTCCCATTTGGATTATTACTATTTGCTCTACACAAATACTATTTGCTCTACACAAAGCTGCTTTTGAAGACCATTTGGAACTGCAATTGGTCCAGTATGCAGCAGCCTGGGAATTAAAGACACAACATTGTTCATTCGAATCCCACTTGCTACTTCTATGGGAACATACTGGTCAGATTCCAAGTATAATTCAAGGTGCTGGTTGCTTACATTCAAAGCCCTTCACAGTTTAGGACTTATTCTTATATTCAACCTGTGTTCAAGACCACCAATTGCATGGAGTATAGAGTAAGATCCAGGAGGCAGGGCTTGAATGGATTCCGATCTGAGGAAGTGTTATGATCTGGGATCCCAAGGGTGGAGCCTAGGTGGTAGCTCTATCTATCTGGGAAGAGCCTACTTCCAAAAAGAAGGACTGCCCCATCCCTATTAGGGTCATGGCAGTGAAGACTTGGCTCTTTCAGAGGGCCAATAGGGATTATATGAGATGTTGGCTTCTAAGGAGGTGGCACTACCTGTTGGGGTGAGGATGAACATCAATAGTTACTTGGTTATGATTTATCATTTGATCTACATTTTCTTCATTACATTATCTGTTTTTAACTGTAATAATGAAGTTATTATTAAAGGGATTTAACATTTGAAGTGAGAGGAGTGGCATAAATAATGATCAAATAGACACGATAGCCATCCTAAGATTACAGTATATACTGAGTGCATGCTGAATTCCATTGCTTCCGTTGCATAATTCTTTAGCAGAAGAATAACACTGGATGTCTGCATGTGTGGAGATTATTTGTAACCTCAACTCGGATGAGAATTTGTGTTACTAAGCAAGGCAGTTCTTAAGTGAGTTGTGTCCGATTTTATGACCTTTTCTTGCCATGGCTGTTAAGTGAAACTCTTGTTAAGTAAATAATGTGGTCATTAAGCGAACCCAACTTTCCCCATTGACTGCTTGTTGGAAAATAGTTGGGAAGTCAGTCATGTGAGCCAAGGATGCTGCAACCATTACAATTACATGCCTACTGCCAAGCACCCAAGTTTTGATCAAGTGACCATGGGGATGCCACAATGGTCAAAACTGCAAGGAACAGTCATAACTCACTTTTTTTTTAATGCTGCTGTAAGTTTGAGTGATCATTAAATGAATCCTAAGTCAAGGACTACCTGTAGGCTATCATTTTATGTTCTTAAAGCCACTGGGCTTCAAGCAGAACACCTCATTCACCCATTGCTCAAAGGGCCCTGGAATGCTACGGAGACATCATAAATCATGCAGACATTCTACAGCCAAGTTCAAGGAAAAGGATGGCAATTCCAGTGAAAAGAATTCTTGTAGGGGGGGAGTCCCATTTTCCTTTCTGGGTTTAACAAGTGGTATGCCTAGTTCTGGATACAGAAATCTACAGTGAAAATCAGACCAATGCCATTTCCAAAAGCAAGGTTCTAACCAGGGGTAGGCAACCTTGGCTCTTTTATGACTTGTGGACTTCAACTCCCAGAATTCCTGAGCTAGCATCGCTGGCTCAGGAATTCTGGGAGTTGACGTCCACGAGTCATAAAAGAGCCAAGGTTGCCTACCCCTGGTTTTGAGGATCTGATTCATGCAAGGAAGAAAAGACTTCTTGAAGCCACCCAACTGCCTTCAACCCAGAAGACCTACCGGTGGGAGCTGCTGTATGGGATTTCCTAATAGAAGGCAAGATGGTGTATGCATCGTAGCCAAAGAGGATTCCAGTCAGAATTGAAGCCACCTATTGAAAAGCAATGAAATTTTAATTTGGGGACTCAGGACTCCCCCCCCCCACAATAATAGGCTGAAGGTTTTTCTAGATGCACAACTCCTAGTGTTACCGATTAAATATACTAGGAGTTAATTAAACAATGAGAAAACAATTGAGAATTTTATGTAACAAATGAAGTTATCTAGACCTATAAAACTGGTAAGCAGGCAATAATGCATGATAAAATCTTGAGCCGGAAACAACCTGCTGGAAAGAAGGCATTATTGACATACTTAGCAATGGAAATTTTGAGCTCGTTTGTGGTTGTAAATTGTGGACCATTTGTAATCTCGTTTTCTTTCAATGTCTTTTTTTTCCCTTCACCTTAAAATAACTACTCTTTGAATTTTGCCTAAACGATGGCCTTTATACCATGATAGGATTTAAACAATATACTGTATCATGGTATGATATAATAATACAAATTAAATCAAAAAGAAGCTTTTTAATAGCCTGCTTCACCAGTAACACTGGCATAAAAAATTGTGTTCGTTGTTTGGTCTTAATGCAAGAAGGGAACCCATCCCTGTGTCTTGTCGGATTCTGTTCTTTTTCAACTGCCCTATTTTTTTTTTTAAAGAAGCAGTGAAAAATCTGTCAGCCCCATAAAATGCTGATCTGCAATTCCCAGCAGTCACAGCCAGTACGGGGAATATCAGCTGACTCTGGGAAATGTAGTTTTGGGACGAGCACAGTTTCCCCACCCTTACTATATATAGCATTCTCCAGCTAATGCGATTCCTGAATAAGCAAGCCTCGCCTTGTTTGATGCATGTTATTGAATTTTAAAAATTCCTGTCAAATCACCATCCCAGTTTCCCTTCTCCAATCCCTCCAAAATTTGCCCCACCAGCAGATATAATACTCACCCCACCAGCCACGGCTGCTCCATCTGGGCGGCTAACAAGGACAATGATGGCGGTGACGATAAAGGCCACTGCTCCAATAAGAGCACGGATAAAAGTCTTTGGAGAAGCAAGAAACAGAATAATCTTGGTGGAGTCTGAGTTAGGTTTTAGTCAGAACACAAAACCAAACCAACCCCTATACGTGCTACTCAGAATTAAATCCCCCTTGGAAATCACGTTTGGATGATAATTCTATATACAGACTTACACCACATCTGAAACATGGATTCCTCTTAACATAAGATCTTTCTTTGCTCAGATAGAAATTAATGCACTTCTTATTTTTGAGATTTATATTGGGCTGATGATTGCTATTGATATTCAAATATTATTTGGACATTAATAGTGGTTGGTAGTTTATAAAATGATATAATATATTCAGTTACTTAAAGATTTTTAGGGTGATGCCTTTTTAAACTTCTTTTGTTCAGAGAGGTGAATTTTAAGATTGTAATCTTATATATTAAACTGTCTGTACAATGTTGTACTAAAACTTCAATATAACTGCCTTGAGATTTTCATCTTCATGTACACCAGGAGTGTCCAAATTTGGCAACTTTTAAGACTTGTGGAGTTCAACTCTCAGAATCCCCCAGCAGGATGCCTGGCTGGGGAATTCTGGGAGTTGAAGTCCACAGGTCGTAAAGCTGCCAAGATTGGACACCTCTGCTATAGATAGAATTATTATGCAAAAAGAAGACAATAACAAGCAAATTAATGCAAAAATGTTTCCCTAGGATCACTTTACACAAATATCAGGATATGACATACTTCGCAGGTGGCAATTCTTATTGGCATTCACACATTCTCAGCAGTCAGTTATATAATGCCTTGCAAAATGTAATCTGCCCGTGCAGTTGAAATATCCAGAGAGGACCTATAGACGGTCCTTTACCCTCATGGTTCATGAGATATGAACCTTCCTGATGGTAGACCCACGTTATGGATCACCTTGCTCTAGGGAGGACAGATGGCACCATTCTTCCTTGCTTTTTAAAGAGGTTGCTCCATAGTTTTGTTTGGGGGACCATCATAGTTGAGTGTTATTATTTTAATAATGTTGCACAGAGTCTGTATGGATCAAGGGATGGATGCTAGACTTATTGTTAAATAATACTGAGACACACACACACACACACACACAAGAATCCCTTACCCAACCACAGGGCTTACCACAGAACCAACACCTACCGTCCATCCCCAGTGGATGAAAGTCAATTGGAGGTGTAATCCTAACATGAAGATGACAAACAGGACGATGCAGTAAATCAAGATGAAGACTGCCAAACCTGTGTAGGGATATGACCTGGATGCCCCATAGCAGATAATGATGACGATACAGGCAATCTAGGAGAGTAGAAATACTTATCAAAGAGCAGAATGGGGGAGGAGAAACATCAAAAGAAAATAGTGTGGCAAACGAAACCTGGCTGATCTTTAAAAAGCCAAGCGGGGTTGACCATGGATGGGAGAATTCAGGGCTAGAATGTTGAAAAACATCCTAGAAGGTCGCAATGACCAACAATTTAGATATTGTTGGCAAAATAGCTACATGTATAAAAGAAAAAATGTTCTGATGAATTGAACTTGATTTGAATATTTTACTTAGCTACAATCAGACATATACAAAAATCTCCACCTTTAACAGGGAAATGTTAGAAAAAGAAATTAACTTCAATGGAGGCTTAGCCTCAAGATAATACACACACACACACACACACACCCCTACACCTATAAACATACACACAGAGAGAGTTGTGCAAAACTCTTCGGCCACCATTAATTTTGTTATTGTAGCAATGGTATAATAGCCATATATAATTATGTCTGTTTCCTTATTAGAATACAACCAGAAAATACAGGAAATTTGTGTGTAGTATTCAAACATGGAAAAAGTAGAAAAAACAGCTTCCATAAGCTAAAGTTGCAAGTATTTAGCATGATCTCCCCCTACACTTGAGCAACAGGAGACACACCTGGTTCCTATAAACCTAAATGGAACCCTAAGAACTGTCCTTGCCAACACCTGTATGTGTCCCACTGGTTCATGCCAAAATGACTGCAGTGAAAAAAGGTCTATTACACCAGGTTTGTGTAAGATATGCTTGACCATTATACTGTACATATTGTATGAGTGTAATTCATTGGAAGCTTACTAATAAGACTAACTTTCAATCATATCATTCCAGTCAAAATGCCAAAGATCACAGGCATTTTGACAGACATAAAATCATACTTTTGCATCAGCAAGGCCACTCTCAAAGGGAACTCAACAAACAAACTAGATATTCAAGATGTGGTATTCAATACTGGAAAATAATTACAGGTGGCCCTTAAAGCTTTGCTAAAATAACAAATCTAATGGTCGCCTAAGATTTTTTTGCACAGTACTCGCTTTCTCTCTGTGTGCGTGTGTATGTGTACACATGCATACATACACAATTTATATATTTGGGTAGGGGAAGAGTGACCCAAAACATTTCACAAAATTAAACTAACTGTATTGTGTAGTACGAAATAAAGTTTACTACCTCAGTAAAATACAGTCCAGATATAGACTGTTTTATATCATAATACCAAGAAGGCCTGTTAATTGGACTTTCAGTTTTGCATTGCAGCAGAACAGATGCAGGAAGGCAGGGCTCTGTCTTCCTTGCCCGATTTTGTCCTGCTAGGGCCCCTGAAAAGGGCCTAAAGCCACCCCAAAGAGGCAATGAACAAGGAGGGATGCTTTGTCGATCACAGAGAGGCAGTGGTCTCTCCGTTTGATCCAAGGAAAGCCATCCAAACCAGCAGTGGAAAGACCGACTACATTTCTGCGGTTGGCCATTAGCTTCTGACAACTGAAGAACAAAAGCACCAATTAGCACATTGTAAACTGCATGTTTGGAACTGGGTGAGAATATTGATCTGTGCTTTACTATTTTACAACTGAATTTCCTGGGAAATGCTCCCAAGAAGCTAAAAACCTCTGAAGGTAAATGGAAGCAGCACTTTAATTTTATGGGGGACAGAAATATAGTATATTGAAGTAGAGGTAATGTAAAGTTGCAGTTTTGATCAGATAAGATAAGATAAGATAAGATAACCTTTATTGTCATTTTTTTTATTGTGGGCACAATGGCACACATCAAAAATGAAATTTAGTTGCCCGCTCTCAAAGTGAAACACATACATGACACACACCTAAAACATACTATGCACAACATATGTATAGACTCACATCCCTACGTATACATAGCAAATAAATATTAAATACTGTCCATCTTGAATATATAACGGAAGGAGGAAGCTTGAAAGTTCACAAGGTTAATGCTGTATGGAATAAAACTATGGCTGAATCTGGATGTTCTGCTATGGATATCACGAAGCCTCCTACCAGAAGGTAACAAGGAAAAAACATTGTGAAAAGGATGTGTAGTGTCCCAGATAATCTTACGGACCCTGCTCAGCAACGCTTCTGTGCTATGTCCTGAATGGGAGGGAGGGTACAGCCATTCTCACCACTCTCTGAACCACCTTCCTGTCTGAAGCAGTGATGCTTCCAAACTAGACTGTGATGCTGTAATAAATTTGAGAACTGAGATAATTCTTAAGATTTTCTTTTTGAAAAAAAAAACATTGAGGTGAAATACAAGAAATCAATCCTTTGTCTTAAGAATGGAAAATGAATTTTGAATGACATCTAATGGTGGATTTGTGTACAGCACTATAACTTGCTTTCTGGCTGCTTGGTGATTTCTAGCTTGGCAATAAAGGAAAATATTTTGGCATACTTATCACCTTGACATGCTTGGACTATAAACACTTATTGATCTTTTAATCTCAAGAACTAGTGGGAGAGAAGGAAAATCTGACTTTGGACTATGGCTGGCAGGGAGAGACTTTTGAGTGTTTAAGCTAGAGGAAACTTTGTTCTACTCTTATTGAGACTGGTGATATTAGAGGATCTCCAGGAATGATGCCTCAAGAAAAAAAACAAACACCTTTCAGAAGGAAATATACTCTACACTACAATTAATTCACCAATCAATTCTTGCATGCAAAGAGGACATAAAAAGAAATCATAATTGAGACTAAAAATAATTTAGATAACATAAATGAACAAATTTCCAAATTAAAGCTACAACTAGAAAGTTCCCAGACAACGACTACAAAGCATGAACAAATAAACCAGTGATTGGAAGATGAAGCAGAGGAATTGGACTTAGAGATGGAAGAGATGGAAATGCAAAAGACTCTTTACCCCTTAAGTTTGCAAGAGGCACCTGATGACAAGAAAGAAGATTTTGGGGAATGGAATATACAACTGTCAGGGGAACGATTACAATTTGGGAGGCAAAAGAGCAGGGGAGAAATTGAGGGAGAAGAAAGGTGGGAGTTGCTTAAGGAACATAAATGGTTGCAACTCCCTCCCCAAAATACCCTACCTAAACTGTCTTTCTCATGCCAAGCAGCATTTACAAAAACAGAAAGAAAATTCCTGGGCAATTTAATTGTGCTGGCATGGAAAGCTACTTGGCAAAAAAAGAAAGCGAGAATTAGATTTAAAAGATAGATTTGATCTATCAAGAGGAGGCATTATATGTTAAATACTTGTTTGAATATAGTTAAAAGAATGCAGGATCTTTAGATATAATTAGATTTTTATAATGAATGATATGATTTAGAGTTAAATAGTATTTTTTTCTTCTTTTAACAAAGAAATACGAAAATAAGAGGAGGATTGGTATGAATAAAATTTATAGCTATCCAAATGTAATTAATATTGAGAAAATCATAACTGACAAAGATATTTTAAATATTGATGGGAAACTAAATTTTAACAAGAGTACAAAAAACAGGATAGTGATTTATGAACTATTGTTATTTGTATAATATTAGTAAAATGTGATGAAGATGTTTATATCTAACTTTGTATACATTAATAGTATTAAGAATTGTAATTGTGTAATGAGGGGAAAATGGGAAAAATATGGGGAAGAAAGGAGGATCAGGGAAAAAATACTGGATTGTGTAGTAATGAATAGATTTATATCAAAGAAGCCAATGTCAAATATGTGAACCCAGACAACATGTTGTTTACTAAGTGCTAAAGATTGTAATTCTAAAAAAATTAATTAATTACATACATACATACATACATACATACATACATACAAACTGCAGGGTGAGTAGTATTGAATTTAGCAGCAACATTTGGAAGGATCCTCAAAGTCAGGTTGCATTTCTGGAGAAAAAATTTCTGCACTCATTAATATAATGAGTTATGCAAAGATGGCTAGCATTGATCCACTAGATACTGCCTGATCAATTCCCAGCAGTTCCATGACTCAGAGTTGGAAGTTAAATAGTATCTGGTGGGCTACAGTTACCTATTCCTACTTTCAGGGATGCCTAGAGTTTCCAGGGCCAGACAATTTTCCATAGTGGTTAAAGCAACTGACTAAAAATTGGGAGACTGTGAATTCCATCTTAAGCATGAAGCCAACTGGGTGACCTTGGGCCAATCCCTTTGTCTCAGCCCCAGCAAGGGCAGATCACATCTAAAACCTTGCCAAGAAGACTGCAGGGACCTGTCCACGTAGTCACCAAGAATCAAGAATCAAGAGCGCATGCGCAGACATGTATCTGTACACCAACGCACATGCACACACACACAAAGTCCCAGGGAGATACTATTAAGTCTTATTACCATTTGATATGAATCTGCCTTTAATTTTTTAGAAAAGCAAATTGTCAGTCCTCTTTAGTTTTATTTGTACCTAGTTATCAGGGAGAAACATGAACATGCCTTAGACTGAATTAAATCATGTTTCTGTGTATGTACTACACATGACTCTTCCCAAAATGCTCCAAAGCAAATCGGGAATTAACTACAGGGCTGTGCCAGTTGCAGCAATCAAGAATTACATTTGGTGGCTAAATCTGCCAAGTGGGAGCCTTGAAGAGAAAAGTTCAATCCATTTCCCAGCATGCTAGCCAAACACTAGGCAGAAGCATGTGGGGGTCTTGTCATCACTGGGGCAACTGCTAAACAAACCAGGAATGTGCTATCAAGTATGCCAGGGCAAGAATAAAATTTTAAAGAAACAGGAACTCATTTCAGACAGCTTGTGGAAGTAGGAATGAAAGGGTAGGGATACAGTTTGCAAAAGTAATTCAGAAGCCTACAAATAGAAGAAAATGGCAGAATCAGATGAGATGCAGTAGACAGCTTGGGGTAGCAAAATTGCTAAAAATATTAACTGTTAGATTAATATCTCTAGTCTATATTTTATAATGACTCATTGTCAAAGACAAATAAGCTACTCAGATACTCAATGCATTACAGTAAGGAAAAAATT